ATGTAACTGAAGCAAAGATGTTGCTGGTACCTGTGATTGGTTGGGTCATAGAGATCTCCTAAAGACTATAACCTGATGCGCTGATCACACCACTAACCCTGCCCGCCTGCCCTCTGGGGAAACCTACTACCCTGTCCAGCTGAGCCAGAACCTCGGGTCTCCCTCAGCAAAGGCACAGAGTTGAGGTAATAGCCCTCCCAGCAGAGTAACACAGAGACTGGTAACAACTCATTTCTGGGAAGGCTCAGTCACAGGAACTTGACCCAGGAACACCACGCAAATGGGACCAGAATCCCAGATAAATCTGTCTTGCTCTGCATGAAAGTTTTATACAAATATGTTCATTCCTTTTATCACTGAAAGAGAGAGATGCACAGCTGTTGTTCACTTCCCCAGTTAACAATTATTCACATCAGGTTTAATAACAATAAAAAATGTTTTTATTAAATATTAAAAGTAATATTTAAGTGGTTACAAGTGATAACAGACAGATCAAAGTAAGAAAACATTGCAGCTAAGATTAGTACTCTAAGAAACTGGTAACATGTAATTCCTTACCCTACAGCAGTTCTGTCATCTTTTCTCCCAAGCTAGTCAACCACCCTGCTTGGGCTTCTTCTTTCCCCGTGTTCAGTCTTAGCTATTTCCAGCAGTCATCTCAGTGCTAGCAGGGTGTGTCTTGGTGTCCCACAATTGCTAACTCCTCCTATTGTCTGTTTTCATGCCTATAAATAGAATTCACATCCTTTGTGTTCTGCTTCAACCCTTTTACCCTCTCATGGAAAAGTACCACATTCAAAATGGGATCCAGTATTTAGTGACCTGGCCACATGTTTTGTCAGGAGCAACAATAGTTCAGACTCACAGGAAAAACAAGACTATTCATAGATCATTGTCTTGAGTACTGGGCCATTAAGTTCCTTGAGTATTGCTAATAGCCTTCACTAGTACATCTAGAAACAAGTTTATTACTTCGTATTTCTAACTTCAAATACAGGAATGATACAATCATACAAATAGAATATACACTTGCAGGGGATTACAAGCAATGACAGGTCACATGGCACATTTTGAATAAAGCATATTTGAATTCAGCATATTCAGATTCAAAAACATATTTTCGTAAAAAATATGGAAGTGCAACATCACAGCACCAAATGATTATCAGTGAGCTTTTCTTAAAAAGAAAATCAGAGTCCCTGACAGCCGCCCATCTGAGAACTGTGGAAACAGCCTCAAACCCCTCAAAATTTGTGAGGAGCCCAGATTAGCTTATAAATTGGAGAATCATTACTGCTCAGGACATCACCTGTAGCACTTAGCAAAAGTCCCTTCCATCTTCTTCCACTACTGAGGACAGTGTAATTCTCAGCACAAGGAAGAACTGCTCTATATCATGAGAAGTTCCACGGTCAAAGCATGAGTTTGACAGCAAGGAATTCCTCTGTCCTTTTCCTGGCTCTGTCACTGATACTCTCCGTGTCACTTTTCCCATACATAAACCAGAGATAACAGTACTGACAGAGAAGCGGGGGTGATAATCATTGTTTACAGAGCGCTGGATAAAGGCTAACACTCAGTGGCATGCATGCACAACCCTCCAGTTGCTCCCAGGTCTGTCATATTTGCATCATTGTTGGCAACTAATCCTGAACATCAGCAAACAAGTTGGAATCAGTTTCCCTTGAATCACAAGAATG